TCTGCTCCTGAATCCACATTTCTGTTAATACAGATCATGCAAGACAGTGCTATTAGCGCAAGTAATCACATTTCTGACACCTGTGTGGGAAATCTGACGTTACTTCCCAACTCCGCACTTTGGTGGGGCCAGCCTGGAGCTCTTTTTCTGTCTCCCTTTCTGCTTATCCACCTGTCAAATAAATAACTTTTAATAAGATGGTTAAGGTGGTAAATTTCATGATGCTTTTTAAAGCAATTAAAAGTAAAATAAAAAGAATATCTGTTGACTCATAGTGAAGTACAGTGAGCCTTGAACATATTGTGCTAAAAAAAGCCAGATACATAAGACCATAATTATATTTATATGAACTCTCCAGTATAGACAAATCCCTGTAGACAGTATATCAGTTGTGGCCAGGGATAAAGAGGATGGGAGATCATTGAGTTATTTCAAGGTACATGAATCCTTTGTGAAATGATAAAAAATAATCTGGGCTTAGACAGCAATGATGGAACAATAACAGTGAACATAGTTAAAATATTTAATTGTACACTATAAAAATTACTTTTATTATAAGAAATTTTCAGTTAAAAAAGTCAAAATGTCCAGTGCCCACAATTATTTATCTCCTGAAAATTAAAATATATATACAGTAAGTATATGCACCAATGAACTACAGTGCAACCATTACAAATATATTAAAAGGGGGCCAGCGTTTGGACCCAGAAATACAAATACTCTATTTTCTCAATTATACATGGGAGCTAAATTTTTTTAAGTAAACAAACAAAAATAAAGTAAAAACAAAGATATGTCTGCTATCAATATTGCTGCAAATCAAGGTTTGTAATACTTTGTTTCTTACCTTTGTCAAATCAATGGTTAAGAATGCGATACCAGGCCAGAGCTGTATAGCAGGCAAAGCTGCCACCTGCAGTGCCAGCATCCCATAGAGGCACCACTTCAAGTCCTGGCTGCTTCAGTTCTCAACTATCTCCCTGTTAACACTCCTAGGAGAACAGGGGAACTGGTTCAAGTGCTTGGCCCTGAACCCATGTGGGAGACCTGGAGGAAGCTCCAGGCTTCTGGTTTGAAACTGGCCCAGCTTTTGCCATTGCAGCCATTTGGGGAAGTGAATCAGTGAGTGGCATCTCTCTCTCTCTCTCTCTCTCTCTCTCTCTCTCTCTCACACACACACACACACACACACTTTCTCTTTCTTTCTCTAACTCTGCCTCTCAATAAACGTTTTTTAAAATACAAAAATAAAGGAATGTTATGCTAGTATAGTTTTAAAGATCGTGCTTACTTAAAAATGTCCAGTATATTGTGAGATGCTCATTCTTCCAATCAATTCTCATTTGTAGCCATTGTCTATGGTTTCATTAAATTAGAGTCTTTCTGCTTTTTACGCATTAAACTTCTTATTTGGTGAAGTGTTAAGTCTTTCAACTGTAATGTAATGTAATTAATAAAAAACAAAAACTATGTTATCTGAAAAACTGAAAAGAAAGAAAAAGGAGAGTAGGAGGGAGGGTAGGGAAGGGAGGGAGGAAGTGAATATCATGTTTTTAGAATAGTATCCACAAATCACACTGGATCTGTTAAAAGTTAATTAAAAATTAAAGTAAAAAAGTTTTAAAAGTGACTGGCTTTGTGAAATAGCAATCGAATTCTATGCTGGGGACTGCCAATGTTTCAAAATAAAAACAATGCTCATACAGGTAGACATATCGCACACAAGTTTCTACTTTTATGAGAATGTCACAGGAGCTCCATAGTTCTTGTCTCTATATTTGTAGTTTAAAACTAAGACTACAGATGCCTTTTACATATGAAAGAGGCACATTCCTGGATTTGAAATGAAAAGTAGGTTTCCAAAAGAACCCATAACAAATCAGCTAACTTGCTAATTTAGAAAGACAGATGAACACAGGTTACCATCACCCAGAAGGGAGTTTTGCTTTGTTCTTTGTTTTCCTCTTTTGCGCATTGTAAATTGTAAAAGAGATTCAGGACCTGTAGCACTTTTCAAATTTGGGTTAGTAGTCCAAGCTAAGAGTGCCCTCTTCTGGTTGTATGGTTCATATTCAGCATGAGTTAGGCCATCATTTAAGAAAGCCAGTTTCCAATACTGGAGTGCTGGTTCAAGTTCCCTTATTCCACTCTGAATGCAGCTTCCTGCTGATGCACTTGGGAGTCAGCAGATGGTGGCCCGAGTGCTTGGGTTCCTGCCCCTTGGATGACCTAGATGCCACTGTTGGCTCCTGGCTTTGGCCAGACACAACCCTAACTTATGGACAACTGAGGTATAGCCTAGAGTACTTGCAATGTGAAAATAGACAAGTGACCTCTCTTTCTCTCCCTTAGTCTCTGTCACCATTTAGAGTAATAAATATTTTTTTAGAAAAGAAAAAATTTAATTTGGAGGAGATGGTGGTGATAACAACAACCATAATAATAAGAATTTGGAAAGGAAAGGGGCTTTCCCTTTCTAATTTACCAAGAATAGATATACAAAAATACGTTTTTGATTGTACTCGTGGTTTCCAAGGATCTGAGGGGAAGGGAAGATGTGGGATTTTGTTTAGTGGTTAGGAAAGCTGTGATGATCAGTTGTTCAGTAGTACGATTGCACTTACTGGTCTGAACACTTCCAAATGATTAAATTGCTACTTTTCAGTTTATGCTGTGTTGGTTGCCAGATATAAAACTAAAACGAGTTGTAGAATAAAAACTTGAGGTTGATGGCAGCATTTCTAACTCAAGACTACTTATTTTTATCTTAAGTGTTTGCCATAAATCAAACCAACTTGTATTTGGTACACTTTTTAATCCCCGTGATTTGATCAAAATGAGCACATATTTTTCTTAATTCATTAAACTATCAATTTTTTTAAATATTTACTTATTTTTATTGCAAAGTCAGATATACAGAGAGGAGGAGAGACAGAGAGCAAGATCTTCCATCCGATGACTCACTCCCCAAGTGACCACAACAGCCGGTGCTATGCCGATTCGGAGTCAGGAGCCAGGAGCTTCCTCCAGGTCTCCCACGCAGATGTAGGGTCCCAAGGCTTTGGGCCATCCTCCACTGCTTTCCCAGGCCACAAGCAGGGAGCTGGATGGGAAGTGGAGCTGGATGGGATTAGAACCAGGGCCATATGGGATCTCAGTGCGTTCAAGGTGAGGACTTTAGCCACTAGGCCACGCCACCAGACCCTAAACTAACCCTAACCCTAACCCTATCTTTCAAACAACTGCATTTTTCTTTTCAGTGTTACTGTCTTTAATCTTACAGATCTAGGGACTCGCATAAAAAGGTAGTGCGAATATTTCATGTACTTCATTTAGAATAGTATCTGCATAATAAGCTATTACTCAATGCTTGACTTGTTTGAGTGGAGCACATAACATTTATTGAAATGTAGAAGAGTAGGAAAGAAGCAAGTTTGGAGAATTAGGACCAGAGATGTTTATCAGTCATCTGGGGATTTCCCCATCCTCCTCCCTTAGTGTTTGGCAAAGTCTGGAGATGCTTCGAGTAGCACACCTGGTTGGGGAGGGAGATGGGGAGTGCTACTAGCATGCAATGAGTGGAGGTGTGCTCTACGCTACCGCACCACAGTGAAGAATTAGGTGTCCTCAAGAGCCACTGGTGTCCCAGGTTCAGCAACCCTGGATTGGAGTTCTCTTCCTGTTAGCCACTTTAAAAAGAAAGAAAAAAGATTCCTTTTCATTTGAAATACAGAGGTACAACAGACACACAATGAGAGACCATACAGAAAGAGATCTTCCACCTACACGTACACTCCCCAAATGGACACAACAGCCAGAGTTGGGTGAATCCTAGGCCAGGAGCCAAGAGCTTCCCCTGGTTTTCCCACAGGGTGCAGGGGCCAAGCACTGGGGAATTAACAGGGAACTGGATCAGAGGTGAAACAGCCAAAGCCACTGCAGCCGCAGGGGATTCCTGCACCACAGGTGGCAGCTTTACTGGCTTTGTCACAGCGCTGGAATTTGTGCCAGAGACTCAGAGGCGAGGTAGTAACGGTAGTAAACGCTGCAAATGTGTTGTCCCTGATCACGGCCACAGCTTCGCAAAGAAGAAATCATTGCACCCTGGAAATCAAGGTTCTAAAATTTTACTTAAAAACCACAGAGCCTACAATAGCAAAGCTGATTAAATGCTAACTCTTTCCCGTTAAAAATACTGAGAACAGTGTTGGGAAAATGGGATTTCACTTTTCCATAGCCAAAAGAGGATACGTGTGAAGACGATTTGAAAGATGAAAGTCTAAGAAATTCCAGAAGCCTACAAGATACAGTGTATCTTCTGGCTGTTTACCATATGTCATAGAATATAACACATCGGCAACAGAAAGAGGAGTCATTTTCCACAGTTCTAAACAACAACAACAACAACAACAAAAACGACTTCTACAGTACTATTGTCAGATTTCACAGACTTCCTTGATGTTGAAATGTATATATATGTAAACATTTATAAAATGTCTTCAAAATTACAAACTTGTTAATATATATATAGATATATAAGTATATCTATATATATATAACAGTCATGTTAGAACCTATGACATGCGATGAATTATTTTTTTTCCCACTCAATTTCGGTGGTCACTAAGCTAGTCCACACTTTGGTTCACTTACAGGTTTTTATACTGCTTTTTAAACAGTCGTAGTTAGGTTCATGGTCCTCATGTGAGTCTGCATCAATTCGGTAAAGCTCCCATCACACCTTCCCACGCACACATCCGTAAGTCATTAGTTTATCAGTGAGTGGTAAACTTGAATTTCTTGCATACGTTGTGTAAAACTCTCCATAGGTTTACTTACACTTGAGGAGGCAGAACGCATTAAATTAAACATACGCAGCGTTTTCTAAAACCTAGCCTTGTAGAAACGTTAAAAAGGGGTGGGGTGAGGTGGGGTGGGGAGTGAGGGGTGGAGGCGGAGAGGGGATATACGTCTCAGGATACAGGAAATACGGTAAGAGCGAAACTGGGAGGAAGCTCTGAGCCTGGAGGGGACCCGCCGCCATCTCAGGTCTCCAGGCTTTGCCAGGGCTCACTGAAGAAAGCTGACACCCGGGTCCTATAATCCTTATGGGGGACCAACCTTGTGCCTCCGGGAGAGCCACTCTCCCACCTGGAAACACGCGGGAAGCGAAACCTCCGAAAAAGCGCTGCCTCCTAGCTCCGCGGTGGGATTATCCGGAAGGAACTCCAAACGGAGGTAGTACCACTCTCCCCTCCGCTCCTCCTGCTGCATCTGCCAGCCTGAAGTCGCATCCTCCTCCTCCCGAGAAGTAGTGGAATATTTTTCTCCCACCCAAAACCAGGTCAGATTCTTTCTCATTTGGGACGTCCATGCTCTCTGAAACTTAAATTATGCATTTTCTGGATCTCCTTCTCCTTTTCCCTGTTCTAGTTTCCAAGATTTCAAAATTGACGAAAGACTATGCAGACTTTACATAGCTGTCTCACAAGATGTGCTTGGGTAAAATGATAATATCATTGCATTAAATATTTTTAATATCCTAGACATGATAATTGTGAGGATTTTTTGAAGAAATAGTTTTGAATCTTGATTTGCTTAAAATGGATTAAATGGAGTCAAGCTGGGGGAGATCCAAAAAAAAAAAATGATTGTGAATTGATGACTGAAAGTGTGGTGATGTGTATGTGTGGATTTATTGTACTGTTCTCTCTACTTTTGTGTATATTCAAAAATTTTCCATTTAAAAATAAGCCTAGTACAAGACCAGTAACTAGAATCTTTTGAAGGCCTGTACCTAGCAGCATGCTGAGAGCAGAAGTAAAACAGAGGCTTCCAGAAGCGTGCCTTTCTTTGTAAGGTGGCAGTGTTTAATAAGTTTTCGTTTTAAGTTACCATATGATGGTCAAACCCAAGTGCCATAATGTTTGCTTGTTCAAGGTATTCAGGAAGCATGGAGGATGGGCCAAATTACTGCCTGGTAGTAATCAGGAGCCATCAAAGAGGAAAGGGGGACTAGGGTGGGTCTTACAGGGTGAGTGACATCTGTCATGTAGAGGGGGAGGGAACAGTTTTCAGGCCGTGTGCTGTTTCCTGAACAAAAGTCACAAGGCAAGCTTGTTCTGGGAACAGCTTGGCTATAATTGTGAATCCATTAGAAAGATTAGGTGATAATGGTACAGTGTTGCAGGGTCTTTTGAATGTTATGCTAAGTGAGCAGTTTATCCCATAAGCAGTTGCAAGTATAGAAGGTTTTTAAGCAAGTGGTATTAACTGTGTTTTAGGAATCCAGTTCTTACCAGAGAAGCTGTCTCCTATTTAGATGAGCTTTTAGAGAATGAAAAATAATGAAATTAAATCTGATCCAAGTCTCACCGATTCTTCTAAGCCAAGAGAAGCCTCTGCATTCATGCAGTGAACTTCACTGGAGCTCCTGCAATGGCTGAATCTTGCATGCGGATCTGTAAGGGGCAGGTGATTGGTAAAAAGTAGGTAGGACAGCTGTTTGAATGAATAAATCAGTAAATGATGGAGTCACACTGACAACCAAAGAGATTCTGGAAATTGAAATTGGTGTAGTAGAGCAGAGAAATAATGAGTGCTATCTCACTTGAAAATGTTGCATCATTCCATAAAGCCTTAGTTCTCTCATCATTACCTCTATCAAAATAAGTGTGAGATTGTGTAGTGGAGCATATGGAGGGCAATGCTCAGATAAGAAATATGGGGCGTTGTGAATACTCACCTAGAGATTCAAATCGTTAAAAGTCAGAATAACAGATGATATTTATTGAATATTTTTATGTGTCAGACACTATTCCAGAAGGGTTTGCCTATTTTATTTAGTCATAACTATACTAGGGAGGTTTGTATAGATCAAGAAAAGTTGTATTATTTGTTCCAATTTACACAGTACTAAATGACTGAGCTAGGATTTGAATCCAGAATGCTTTTGATCCAGAGCCTATGTTCTGAACCTTGTATTATTATGTAATCTAGAGCTCTTCAAAATGTTCATGAGGAATACAGGCCATCTTTTAATTCAGTTTTCCATGAACTTTTTGAAGCTGCCTTATACAACTGTTTTGTAGGAGTTTATCATTGAAATGGGGGCGGGGTGGAACATACAGTATTGGACAAAGAAACAGGTAGCAATAGAAAAAAAATTATTTTACTTTATTTTGTTGTTTTTCAGTCTAAAGAGATTGCATTATGTCTCCATGTCTTTGGTGCATTCGTAAACTAGTTCAGCCAGTGAAGACAGTGAAGATTATTTACCATGCTACGCTGCTTTTTCTGATGTCCTGCACTTGGAAGTTGTGAAGTTTAAGGTAAACCTGTTCACCAAAAATTTGTTAAGAAGAAGAGGAATGAATTTATTTTAGCACATTAAAGATAGCCAGACAAACAAACAGCAAAATGCTTCTGAGAAAATAATTTTCTATGTTATATAAAATAATATATAGGATTTAAAGTTTATGAAGGTACACATTCACTCCCAATCATCTAATACTTTCTGTTGCTTCTATGAAATGCATCTTTCTAGGGATGTATTCTAGTTGCTGATGGTAAAAGGGAACATGCTTGAGAAAATTCCTTTCTATCCCTAGTTTGCTGAGAGAGTGTATCTTATGAATAGAGGGTTTTGTTTCTACAAATGCTTTGTTTCTACTTATTAGCATCCACCAATAATATTGTAACAGTGTGGAACATCTTCATCAAAAACCATTGTATCTCCAGCTGTTGACTTCATCAAGCATCATCACTGATTATTTTCTTGTCCGATTTTGTAATTTTTGCTTTTATTTTCAATTTGTCTTTAGGTTTTTGTTTGTTTTCTGATTTATGAGGTTGAACCTCTTGCTAGATGTCAGCTGAGAACTGTCCCCAACTCAGAGTGGCTACCTGCACTCTGTGGTTTGCGGTCTGCTTCCCATATCTTCAAACCCAACAATGACTGAGTCTTTTTCGCACTTAGAGAGTTTTTCCCATTTATTCTGTCATTATTTTCTCTGACTCAGCTGGGAAAAGGTCCTTTGCTTTTAAAAATTTTTGTTTTTATTCAAAAGGCAGATTTTACAAAGAGAAAAGGGCAGACAGAGAGAAAAATCTTTCATCTACTGACTTACTCATCAAACGGCTGCAAGAGCCAGAGCTGAGCTGATCTGAAGCTGGGAGCCAGGAGCTTCTTCCAGGCCTCCCACGGGGCTGCAGAGTCCCAAGCACTTGAGCCATCCTCTACTGCTTTCCCAGGCCATAGGCAGGGAGCTAGATCGGAAGTGGAGCAGTTGCAGTGGTCATTGCCGTGGTGCAATGGATTAATCTTCCACATACAAGCACCAGCATCCCACGTGGGGGCTGTTTTGTGTCCCAGGTGCTGCACTTCCCGTCAGGTTCCCTGTTTGTGACTTGGGAAGGCAGTGGAGGATGGCCCGTGTCTTTGGGACCCGGCACCCATGTGGACGACTTGGCAGACATTTCTGGCTCCTGGCTTTGGATTGCCACAGCTCTAGCCGTTGTGACCATTTGGGGAGTGAACCAGTGGATAGAACATCTTTATCTCTCCTTCTCTTAAAAAAGTAGAAGAAACAGAGCAGCCACGACAGGAACTGTTGCATTTATGAGATACAAGGTCCTTTGCTTTTTAAAGACACTTGCCACTAAACTGTGTCCCCCTAATAATTCAGCAGGTTAAGCCTCCATCCTCCAGTGCTAGCATCCAGTATGGGCACCAATTAGAGTCCTGGCTATTCCACTTCCAATCCAGCTTCCTGTTGTCTAGGAAAGCAACAGAGGATGCTTCAAGTCCTTGGCCCACTACACCCAAATTGGAGACCCAAAAGACACTCCTGACTCCTGACTTCATTTGTTCTAGATCTGGCCTTTGTAGCCATTTGGAGACTGAGCAGTGGTTGGAAGTATTCTCTCTGCCTCCCTGTTTCACTCTTTCTCTGTAACTGCTTTTCAAATAAATAACCCTTTACAAAAATTTTTCCTTTCCTTTTTCCCAATGCCCTTAACCGAATCACACCAGCAACTTAATCATAGATTAATCATATTAAGTTCCTTTTACCTTAGAAAGTGACATAGTGAAAGAGTCTGGAAATTATAGTTTGGGCATCTTTCGATAGCCATTATTCTACCTAGCATAGATTACATTAGAATAGCTAGCCGTAATATGATATTCAATATATGATCCATTCTTTCTTTGTAAGATTTATTTATTTATTTGAAAATTGGAGTTATACAGAGAAAGGAAGAGACAGAGTTTTTTCCCAGTTACTGATTCACTGCCCAAATAGCCGCCAGGACTGAGCCAGGCCAAAGCCAGGAGTCAGGAGTTTTCTTCCAGATATTTCATTTAGATACAAGGGCTCAAGCACTTAGGCCATCCTGTGCTGCTTTCCCAGGGACATCATCATGGCGCTGAAATGGAAGTGGAGCATCTGGGTCTTGAACCAGCACTCATGGATGCCATCATCATAGGTGGTGGCTTTATACATGATACCACATGTTAGTCCTCCATTCATCCATTTTATTACTTTCATTCAAGAAAAAAAAAACACTAAATGTCATCTGTTAAACTCTAGACATTGCCGCAGTTATTAAGATAATATTCTAACCCAGTCAATGGAGTTCATAGACTGTTTTGGTAAGCTCTGTAGATAGAAATGGGCACAGAACATTATCAGCGAATACAGAAGAGTGCATGGCTTAGACTACAAGTGCCAGCCGTGTTCTCTTGTGTAAATCAGTGTCTGAGCTGAGTCATTAAAAAAGAATGAGAGTATTAAATAAGAATGAATGATGACTGAAGGGAAATTAGAGAACTTCAAGCAGTTGAGAATATAGTGATCAAAGGTACAGAGCTCCAGATAGGCTGTTCTCTTGGAGAGATGGAGATGGGTGCTCTGCAGATCTAGAAGCCAGAAGTTTTCCTGAAGTGAAAAGATGAAGCTAAATCTCCAAGCTGGAGCATAAACATGAAGACTTCATGCTCCATGCTAAGTACACTGAAATAGGAAGTCATTGAGTATTTTTCAGGAAAGTACAGTATTCATATTTATGGTTCATATAGATCATACTAGTGGCCATGTTGGATGATAATGTGAGATTCACATGATAAGACCCATAAGATGCTTATGTGAAAATCCTGCAAAAAGTGATGAAGGCCGGGCCCGGCGTGGTGGCGCAGTGGTTAAGGTCCTCACCTTGCACGCCCAGGATCCCATATGGGCGCCGGTTCTATCCCAGCGGCCCCACTTCCCTTCCAGCTCCCTGCCTGTGGCCTGGGAAAGCAGTCGAGGACGGCCCAAAGCTTTGGGACCCTGCATCCACATGGGAGACCCAGAAGAGGCTCCTGGCTTCAGATCGGCATAGCATCGGCCGTTGCGCTCACTTGGGGAGTGAATCATCGGACGGAAGATCTTCCTCTCTGTCTCTCCGCCTTTCCAATAAAAATAATAATAAAAATAAATCTTTTAAAAAAAGTGATGAAGGCCAAATTCAGCTAATGCTAGTACAATGAGAATGATTTAAGAAAGGTTGATGAGATTTTACTGATTAGATATTATCTTAGGGTTCAGTTAGATAAACATAACTAGTAGGAGACAGATAGTAAGTATATTGCAGGTATTGTATGCAAGCAAGCCAATACAGAAGAGTGCCAAGCACTGGTTAGAATTTGGAAGTCCTTTATTGCTGGTGATGAAGAGGAGGCTCAAACGCTAAAGACCTCTCAGCCCTGAAATACAGAATGGCAGGGTTTTATAAAAGGCAAAAGCCAAAAACCAGGAGGAGTTCAGTAGGACTGAGCTAATGTGTAATAATTTTTCTCCTAGTCATGCCTGAACAGCCTACCCAGGGTCTCAAGCATTCTTGTCAAACAAGATGGGGTTTTGTTGGCCGGATTAAGGTGCTGTGGATGGGGGATACCTCACCCAAGATGAAGCCCAGCTCAGCATGGAGTCCCTCATGTCAAGCCTGTTAATTTCACAAGCAATTGGAGGGCTGGTTAGGTAAGTTTCAAATCTGTAGTGTAGGCTTTAGGAGAGGCAGGCTGGAGTTCCCAGGCATAGGCTGAAACTGAGGTCCTGAGAATGGAATTTCTTCAGGAAAGTTTTATCTCTGAAAGTCTTCGAACTGATTAATTCAGATCCATATAGATTACTTAGAAAAATCCACTTTACCTAAAGTCAACTATTGGTATAGGTTAATCCATCTATAAAATAGCTTCACAGTATAATTGGTTGCGTATTTGTTGGAAAACTGGGGACTCCAACCTAGTCAAATTGACGTGTCAAAGGACCATCACAATTGAATCATCTGAGATGGAATAATAGAAAATTATTCTTGAATCTCTGGCCTCAAGATTGGACGAAATCACTAATTGAGATATAAAGTAGGAGAGAAGGAGCAGGTTGTTAATATTTTGAGGAAGATAGCTATTTGGGGATTCCTGGAAGTCAGGTGAGGGTCTGAGATGGCAAGAAAGGTTTTAGCCAGATAAGTAGATGAAGATGCCATCAGTATAAAAAAGATAGTTAAAGCCAGAGGAATAAATTAGATAATTTGAAAGAGACTGCATATATAGAGAGAAAATATGAGTTGAGGAAGAAATCCTGGGGAACAACACTGAAGGAATGTCCGGAGAAAGATGAGCACATAAGGAACATAAGGAGAGAATCAAAGCGTTTAATACTCCAATTTTAAGAGAAATGTGAGCAGAAGGACTATATATACAGGGGTACTTTAAAAGGTTAATGGAGGGACAGGCACTTGGTGTCGTGGCTGGGATGCCCCCTGGGAGGTCCAAATCTCATTAGAACGCTTAGGTTTGAATCCCACCTCTGTTTCTGATTCCAGTTTCTGGCTAGTGTGCACCTGGGAGGAAGTAATGGCTCATGTAGTTGGACTCCATTGCTCAATGCCTGCAGGCATTTAGGGAGTGAACCAGTAGATTGTTGTAAACTTCTTTCTTTGCTTCTCTCATACATAAAATAAATACAAAAGTTTAAAAGTTTGTGAAAAAGTGAATTGAAATTAATTTCCTATGGTAGAAAAAATGTGAAATCCATGCACAGCTTTTTTGTAATATGTTTTTCATAAATTTTATTGAGGGTTTAATAATAGAAAAATATCCATAAATTTTTTAATTAAATTCACTGATGAATCTCGCATTACTGCCTTCGGTGTTATTGTTAGAGCAGAGTCCAGATTGCAGTGGGTTTAAAGATGACTAGCAAGGGGCCTGGCGTGATGGCTCAATTGGCTAATCTTCCCCCTTGCAAGTGCCAGAATCCCATATAGGTGCTGGTTCATGTCCCAGCTG